ACGAGAACCGTTCATCTTATCGGCTTCACACTTGGGATGTGTGATATTAGTGGCCCAAAGAAGAGCGGTGGTGAATCTTGAAGCGATTTGGACACGCGATAGGTTCAATATTAATAAAATTTGAATTCTTGGGCGTCCTCGGATAAACTACAGCAGTGGTCTGCAGCATTACCACAGGCCGAGCAGACAGGCCATTACAAACAGACAGGTTTACAATGGACACTGCTCTTGTACAATATAATATCCAGAGCACGATGATATCAAAGAGAGGAAGAAAGACAGAAAGCCAAAGACTAATAAATACAATAGAAAAACCCTCACTCCCCTCAAGTCAAAATGAATTAGAGGCACCTCTGGCTGGAGTTACTGCCTCAGGTCTATATCAATAGGACTGTATCAGCTTGGCAGATCTTAGCACTGCAATTCTCCCCTTATCCATCTCTGCTTAAGAACTTAAACCCAGTCATCCTACATGGACACTGTGAAATCTGTATTGAACTGAGATGGAGATGGTTGTTTTTTTAGTCACTGCAGTTACACCGTCTTTAGCACCATAATGGCAGCTGCTTGGACCATCCTCTTAGATGTTAGTCTATAAGCTTATGTGTATGCTGCAGTCGTAAATATTTATGTATTTGCGATAGCATCACAGACTTTCAGCCACTGTGCTTTCCGTGCACAGTGGCTGAAAGTGATTCTGTTTTACAAGTTTCAGGAGCTGAACCAGTCGAGCAGCGCTGGTTCACACAGAGCAGCTCAGCCAGCTGCTGCAGCTCACTCTGAGCTCGTCACGCTGGTTTCCTCCCTCACAGTAAACCTTTCGCATTCTCTGTGGTACCTTGGTGAGCCTGGCTGGAGTCCAGGGTTTAAATACAGAATTCACTTTTTGCTGAATTCTGTTGTTTTATATAAATTTGTTGTGCCTACATGCGTGCATATAGTATTTTCGGCATTGTGGAGCTCCAGGGGCCAGTAACAGGATTAGAAACAGTCTTTAACCCTGCGAAGAAGCCCCACAACACCGCTGTGACTGATCCACCACTCTTTGCTCCTCTGTTGGTTTATCCTGCTTATCTCTCCTTTAACTCATCATTTTGCTCTAATCTCCTTTTCTCTTTCTTGTTACTTAATCTTCACTTTTCTCTCTTTCTTTCGTCTCTCCCCTTCCATGTTGTGCTAAAGTCGCACAAAAGCTTCCATAGAGGGCAAATTGTGTTTATTACATTGAGTCGACTGTAACAAAAGGAACAGAGGAAAGAAAAGATGTGTTCGAGATGAAGGTAAGACTAGGACAGTAATCGCGGAGGGGGGGGGCCGTCTGGTCTGGTCTAAGGGTGGATCGATATGAGGTGGGATGTAGGAGGGGGGTGGGGGGTGGTTGTGGGGGCACTAGAAGGGCTAATCATTTCAGTCATTACAGAGCCGTGTCTGCTGATTCCAGGGATTAGCAGACACACAAACAGGGGAGATGTTGTGTTAGTGCTACAGGAGACTCTATCAGGGATTTGAGGAGTGGAAAACACTGCCTGTCCCCAGTCACCTCTGGTAATTGTGTCTGCAGTACCATGTATGGGGGATCTAGGTCTGGGTGTACAAGAGTGTGTGAGCTGAGGGAGAAGAGGAAAATGAGACGATGTTGATATTTGCATTGTGCACGTACACACGCGCGTCTAAGAAATCCAAGCTGGTATTGCAGAAAAGGTGTTTTGGCCGTCTCCCTCTTCTCCTCTCGTGAAGAAGAGGAGAGTCGTGGGAGAGCTTACATGCTTGCCTGCCCACAATCCTTTATGTGGAGCTGATCACTTAACGGAGTACGGCTAGTGCCGAGAGGCACGGCTAGCTCCACTGCCTGTGAGAGCTCGGGGAAAATTTCACACACCACAACGTACACGACAGGTGGAAATGAGGGAAATTACATTTACGTCAGTGGCCAGAGTTTCACACCTGGCTAATTCATTAGGCTGCAGTTCCAGTGTTGACAGTATCCTAATCGCTGATGTGAGATTAAAAAAAGCCTGTACACTTGAACCGTCGAGCGCATTTTAACACTCGAGAAAACAAGAGTGAAAACGAGCCTTGAAAGTATATTAATTAGGAGACTCAGATTTGCCAACATTTCTTGCCTTAGTGCATTTTTAAAGAGGGACTTTAATTTTTACACATCAAGATCAATTTACTCGTCACAAAAAGTACTTCTCAGCCTGTGAGCACTGCTGTGAGTCCTCTGCGGCTCAGCACTGAGAATACAAATTATAACAGAAAGCCTGCTTTACAGAATCTGTGTTTTAACACACATGTATATTCATCATGGCACAGAGGGTCTCATGAAAATGAAAAACACTATTGAGTTGCATTATGATAAACTCATGCAGTGCCTGATCTAAATGTGCCTGTTTGGAACGTTCTGTTTTCTTGTACTGTGTTAAAAGCTCCAGAGCTACTTCAGAATTAGTCCTTGTCATTAGTGAGACACTCTTGTTGTGTACGTGCTGGATGTTATGTGCAAAGCTTTTTATAAACCGTCTATGGTGCTAGAAAAATTTCCGTCAATGTTTTTCATTAAAGTTTGTTTTATTACGTGTAAAGCTTTTATAAAGGTTTGAATGCCACTGGTGTAATTTTTTTATACATTGGATGTTGAAAATAATACCTCTGTAATTACACTCAATAGAAAGTATTGCAGCTACAAAATGTATATTCTGCTTTTTTCTCGATTTTTACCGACAATTGTAGTTTATCTGACGACGTAAAAGACGACGTGTTCACCTCGGTCCGCAGACTGAAGGCACATTGCTACATACAGACATATATATGCAGGATCCAGGGTTTAGGAGCTTGACCATTACCAGCGGCTGCAGTAACTCAGACACTTAACATTCAAGCAGTGTCATTTTTTAACACTGTTAACACTTTTTTACTGATACGACCAATAACATGTTTCACAGTAAAGGTCGTTACTTTTATGCACACAGAGTTGGAATTGGCTTAACAAGCCACTTGAGGTACAGCACCTCCAATGAAAGATTATGACGTGACCCGATGGCATTATCCTGATGTGGAAATCTCTCTGCAGAGCCGCAGAGGATGTTGCACAACTTCTAAGGGTGTTAAAAATGTTGAGTGCCACTTAAAAGAAATTGGATGCTATAAGACAGCACAGTGGACAAGTTTTGTTATACTGATGATAAGACTTGTGACCCCATTTATATTTTTGTCAGGAACTGAAGATAAACATTAGCTGTTTGTCTCAAAGCTGGTGGATCTCAGCGGTTACCTGATATTTAGTTTTGTTTTTCGCTGAGGTCTGTGATATCAGCAGCTGAGACAGCTGGTGGAGAGACATCTCACACAGCTCATTATTTTTAATTAGCTCCACCTTTTCAGTCTAGTTACCTCCAGCTTTTCACTCCCCACTGCTAGCTTTTAGCACACACACCACTTCGACATGAAACTGGATGGCAAAAATGTTTTGCACAACTAAAAAGGTATTACTTTACTTTGCCTTCACTTCATCCCTGAGGCCAACAAAGCTGCTTTGGGTGATTTTCTTTTCGTCAAACATGCAACTTTTAAAAGAGATTTTAGAAACAGATGCGACAAACTCAGTGAAAGAAGACGTGGAACCAACTTTAAACAGATTTGATTCTGTACAGGAGAATCTTCACTGAAACGCTTATTGCAGTGCACGCTAGCGTGATGTCGCGTTCGAGCTCCACCGACGGGCTACGTGCCAGCGCAGCTTCACACCTTGTAGTCTTGCCAGTCCTGTGACCTGAAGGTAAAGCTGTGAATACAGAATGTACATCTTGCCACCTGACTGCAAACGTTCAGCATTCAGAGGACACAGCCTCCCCGCCATGGCTGCCGTCCAACACCTGCGGCTTCAGACACAGCTTCAAAAGGCAAAGGGAAAAAAATGAAGGCAAAGGATGTTTGAAAGGAGCTTAACATCCTCAGCAAAGGAACTTTTCAATCTTGCAGGCAGCATTGTGTTTTTGGACACAGGCAAAAAGAGACGAATGAAGCTGTTGGGATAATCTGACCCAACAGCAACAAAAATCCGAGCTGAGAGTTATGGAGGAGGCTTGTCACCGACTCGATTCAACAGTCACAGAAAGTTAACTGGCTTTGACCTTAAAATAAGAGTCAAACTAAACTTAAGCTTGACAGCGGAAAATCAGGTTAAACTTCTCTAACAGTTATTCTCCAATTCATCCAGCGTGTCACATTGGGATCACAAGAAATAACAAAAACTTCTGAAGGGAAAATGAAAGAAGCTACATGAGAGAGAAGTGCATGGTGGCAGCAGTGTGGGTGTCTGTGTATGTGTTGAGGAGACTAGAGATATGACCAGGGGGAAATGATGCCAAAATTCCACCTCTTTGTCTTCTTTTCCCAAGTTGTCCTCACGGGCCCTCCAAAATGTAAAAAAATAGAGCTTGTCTAATGGAGAAGAGGGCCGAGGGGGAAAGACAAGAAGAGCCAACGTCCTCTGCGGTAGGAGAATGCAATTTGAGATTGGCCAGATTGCTTTTTCTATTTTTTTTCTTCCTCCTCCCTCTCCCCCTCGGCAGCTCATGAGGAGTGATACGCACTGGCGGGGTCCCTAAGCCGCCATAAGCCTGACGCCGGCACCCGCACCGTCGCCAAAGACTTGTCGCACTTACAGTGCGAGAAAATCGGCCCAGATGAAATAAAAGAGGGACTCCAAAAAGATCAGCGGGGATTTGAGAGTGATAGATGAGAGTCAGGCGAGGAGAGGGTGGAGACGAGGGGTGGGGGCAGGGAGTGTGGGATTATAGTAGGATATGGCAGAATGTAAATGTACTGGCTGATTTCTCACGGTCTTGTTGCATTGTCAGAGGTACAATGTTGCAGGAGCTTTGTTAGAGTTCTTCACACCCTCCAAAATGAACCATCTGGGCTTTCTAAACACAGACAGGTAGCGTTGTCCTACATGAAACGGGCGTGACATTTGTTTTTTCTTCTTTCTCTTTCAGGAGGAGAGGGCTCAGCCGAAGCAGGACAGAAGGAGACGTCCACCTGTGACATTTGCCAGTTTGGGGCTGAGTGTGATGTGGACGCAGAGGATGTTTGGTGAGTTTTCACACGCTAACACTTACACAAAATGCTTGACACTACAGGTAGGTGATATGACCTATTAATATCACTGTGTTTTTAATTTTTTTGGAAGGTGATGCTTGTATATCACAGTGTTACTTCATTTTCAAGTTTTGCAGGGAGAAGCCTGTCCTGTCTCGTCATATCTGTCCATCTCTTACTAGTTTTATCATTTTTGGCTTGGCAGAGATAAACGATGCCTGGAGTCACACCAGTGTGGTTCTGGGACATGCTCCACTGGTGCTGGTTGTTCGCACTTGCCCAGGCGGGGTTGTCTCCACATATTCACAGATGTGATATTTGTTAATTGTGTGTTTCTTTTGCTATCATGACACAGCAACACAGCTTGCATAAAAGAGTGTGGATACCTGACCCAAGCCCATCAGAACCCAGGGCGGATTTGATTAAACATTTTTATAAACATGTTTGGGTTCAGGTCAGGTTCTGTCACATTGACTACTTGATTTTAAATATAGTATAGTAAATATGCATGTCAGGGACAGACAGAACACACACTCATTGCAGCACATTAACTGCATTAAGCCCGAGTCAGGTATAACTGAAAGGGGGTCGGGCACAGTTTCCCTCTAAGGCTTGGACGGGTTCAAACCAAAACATGCAATCCAAGCTCTATTGCATAATACTCGCAGTTTTCTCCATGTTGGATTATTTAAATCTAAGGCCGTGTTTGGGGGAAGGAGGGTTTTCCCCATCTGGTTCTGACCCTCCACTCATCTCTTTAAGTTTTACTACTATTCACACTTGATCAGTTGGGTGGCTCCCTTTTTTTCCTCACACCTTGTATAAAGACAGCGGCTTATATAGCGATTATATGTCACTTTTTTTATCTATAAAAGAAACAGGATGAGGACAATATTCAGATCACAACTGAGCATTCAAAGAAAATAAAAAGCTATATTTTTTAAATTAGACTGTTGTTTTATCATGGTAATAAAGCTGTTATACATTCTATGTCGTTGTGCACTATGCCCCCGGTGATTATGACACTGGTGTACCGCCCATCCCTATTTGTAACTGCTGCTTATTTTTGACACCTGTACACCTTACATGACTATAGCACACTTTGCTCGCAAAAACATTATAGAGACATTTTTGCTAGTTGAAATATTTTAATCAGTTTCAACACTGAGCATTTAGATAGAAACTTGCCTTTATCCTGCACACAGCCGCTGATGAACACCCGCTGAGGCTTAGTGCACGGTTGGCCATTTCATTTAACCTCAATTACTGTAGCAGGGCACAGAGAGAAAGGAGATTCTCACTTATTCTGGAAATCCAATTACTGTCCTTACAGGACTCGGCAATGTCAGACCAAAAATGACTTTGACTCACACACTGGAAAAGTAGTTCAGTGTAGAAATAACGTTTGTCATAATTTCAACCAGTTATTGTAGATGAGACAAATGTTGGTAATATGTTATAGGCCCACCCTCCCTCATGCATTAGCAAGAAAGCAGCACTAAAAAAACATCCTCGGGGCTACATAATAAACATGCGGGTGCAGAACCTAATTAGAAGGAGGCCCGGCTGGTGAACTGTTTTCCAGCTCCAGACAATATCAGCTTTTATTTATTTGCACTCTACAGCATAAAATGAAGCTTAAATGAACCTACATTATAGATTTGGTGTGGAACAAGGATCAGCTGCTATCAGCAAAAGAAAAGCAGTGTGGCCTATGAGAAATCCCAGACATTAGAAATTAGACGTGCCCTGGGAATATGACTCGATCAAACTACTGGATGTAATGGAAAGATAATGTGCCCTGGTGTGCAATAACTGTAATGCCAAGGAACAGACTCATGGTGCATACCAAGCCTTTTCCCAAAGTCCACCCACTTCTACAAATGCACCTTAATGATCCACAAAAACACAGAAATGGATTTATTGGTAATTTTTCAAACCTCAAGGGGAGAATTCAATAGCATTCAACACAGTGTCAATGATGTGTTCATATAAAACAAGAAAAAAAGAAAATGCAAGCATATTAAGCACTATATGTAATAAAGACAGTTCCACAGTCTAAAAGAATGTTTGCCCCAACATAAGAAAACATTGGATAAGACAAGAGGCAGCCAACACTCAATACTGCATCTCGTTTTAAACGCAGTTGACACAAACAGACATAAATATTTCATTTTCCTTTCGATAAGAAAGGAAAACACAATCTTTCAAAAACCCTGTGGTGTTTTGATGAGAATGTGTCTGGTGAATTATCAGGCAGGTAATAGCGACCCAACACCAGGATTTTCATCAAACAGCAGTCAACCACACGCGTACAACCCAATCAGACAGCAGTGGATTTGAATCAGACAGAGCAGTTAATCAAACTGCAAGTTCAGAGAGATGACGGGATTTAAAGAGCAGGTGGAGTGACCCAGTAAAGTGATGTGCTTCTAGTAGTGCAATATTCGTATGTTTAATAAATAAGTGCTGTTGTGTAAATTGTTAGCCACTGTGGGAAGTTTGCTCTAGGATGTGTGGATAATCACACTGAAGTGCCATTTTGTTTTCACTGCATTATTTAGTCTGACATTTGGGAACCCCAGTCATGCTTCCTTTGAAAGCGCCTAATTATAGCGGGCGTCCATCCAGTTTATGATATTTTCAGCTGTCGTGTAGGTTGTGAAGAGGAGTTAGCTAAACATTCATCATCACATTGTTGAAGAAGCTGTTTAAACCGAATAGTCTGACATTGTGTTAAAATTGTTCATTTGCATTCTGAGGGAAATGTATGCCTTCTTTTAAACAAGAGGGTACAGCCGAGAGATGATTGGCTTAGCTTAGCATAACGACTGCAAACAGTCCAACACATAACAGCCCAACACATAACAGCCTTTTATTTGGTAAGTTTAACAAAGAAAATCAAACATGTTAGTTATAGTGAGCTTTATAAATGCTGACAGAAGGAATGTTTTAATTTTGGACTTTCTGTTTTGTCTTTGTGCTAAGTTAAACTAACCGTGTCCGAAGATAAACGAACCATTAGCAGGTTTTAGTTTTAACCATGAAGACAATGACAGTGGAATCAATATTGTTGTCTAACAACTGTCAATTATGTTTCTCTTTGTGTTTTGAGCACAAGCACCATTCGGCAATTAGTTGAGTTTTACCAGGGGGGGTGGTTTGGTCACCTGCACCAACACCAACCAACACACATGTAAATTGTATGCCTCCCAAAGAATTTCATTTTATCCAGTTACCGTCCTTCTCTCTGAACTGAGACTGTGTTTTTATTGCAGTGTGATAAAGTGACCACTTAATATGCTTTAAAATTGTGTGCAGAATACTGTGTTTGATAAGGCAGGGGTTTCTCCTTCTTTGTCATATACATTCTGACACAGTTAACATTGGGCCAAATAAAAAAAGAGAAGATAGCTGTAAATAGTCATTTTAAGTTTGTTAAAATATTTTGCCATTGTAATGAGATGTCTATGTTACAGATCACTGCAGAGTATGGATTGTCTTTAAAACTGTGAGATTTGTTTGTTGATTCTAAACGGTTCTCGTTCATGCTGCATTAGTATAGTATTGTTTTCACCTTTGTGTGCATGCGTGCATGCGTGCATGCGTGATATCTTGACGGACTGGGACAGACAGCAAGGAGCGCCATTGGACCTGTTGAGAAGACTTTTTAACTTTTGATTTATGTTTTTAGACTCATTCCTCCTCCTACTGAATTTGGTTTTGTATATTTGGATTTAGGGTTTATATCTTTGCACTTTGACTTAATTATTTGCTATTTTATTTTGAAATTTCTTTCCCTGTGTGTCTCTGTTTCTTTACCTCATGTCTTTGTCTGGTTTACCTTCTTGCATTTATAACCTTCACCGCCTCTACCTGTAGTTAACTTTGTGTATTAGACAGCGGTTCTCTTTGTTCCATGTCAGTTTGTCTGTTAACTAACATTCCTTGTGCTTTTGAACTGGGGTTTCCATTGTGTTTCCTTGACACCATGACATCATGCGGTTTTATGGGTCAGATATCAAAGTTGTCAAACCTGGTAAGAAAAGCCAAAAGTAATCTGAATCATTAGTTGGTTTTGCTCTGCTATGACAAAGGTTACAGGATAAACAGTCCTGCCCAGTACTGTTGCTACAGGTTTGTTGGGTCTAGTGATTATTTGGATCTCAGCAGGAGCTCTGAACTTGGCAGAATGAACTTGCAACAACCTGCACAGCTACAATCCCATCAATGCTTATGACCATTTTTCTATCAGCACCTTCTTGCTCTGGCACAGGAAAATGGACGTCACATTCCTATCTCCCTCTTACAAGCCTGGATTGGCTCAGTTGCAACAGTGGAAAAAGCCATCAATGAGTCAGGGAGCACAGTGCCAAATTACTGAAAAATATCTGAGTAATTCAGAGGTCTGGAACCAGAGATAAATCCAAGAAGATTGTAAAAACCTCAATGCAATCAATGCATTTCTTTTTACAAGTGTAAACCTTTCTGAAGACACTGGTGACTGCTGGCAGCTTCAACAATGCTCTATGTTGCCTCGTCAAAAGTAAAAAAAATCAGTGTTAGTTTTATTTTCCTTACTATTTCTACAATTTGACAAAACATTCTTTTGGATTGTGTTTGTCGTACATCATCTGGATTCATCACTGCTACCTGCTGTGGCAAAGAGCCTTGCAATCCTCACACCGCCCCTCTGCAGCTCTCTGTTCTCTGGAGGCAGTCAGCAGGCAAAAAAGACCAATTTACCCCAGAAAGATCAATAGAGTGTCACGAAAACCCATTTAGATCCATTTGTGGTGTAAAACTGTAATTACCCACAAAAAACCATGCTTTCAAACCCATCAATAGCCCCCATCACCGTTGATAGAATTAAGGTAGAAGAGGAGCAGATAGTGAGCTAATCATAGAGGGGGGCTGCCTGGACACTTGCTGTGTGAACACTGGGTTTAGACATAGTGACAAAGGAGCGAGGGGCTTCTCAAAGCCGCTACTTA